TTGCTGCCTCTGCCTCAAAGAGGCAGCAAGGTGGGGAAGAGAGTAGTCGATACTCAACTAACTGAAAAGCTTATGCTTATCAGGTAGTCAACTAGTTGACTCCTCACTAACATCCCTCTCTCTAGAGACCCCTGGTTCTATCCCTAATGTCCACCAAGATGTCAGCCACCCCACCATCAGATGGTAACAACTTTCAGTTACTACCAACCCAGACTAAATGTTGAACTCTCTCTCAATTTCCAAATTCTTTAATCCCTCACAAAGTCACTATATTACAAATACACCCATACCCAATAAAGCAATGTCTCTGCACCCCCATGGTCTTGGCCATACAGAGATCTTTAGAACCTTCTCATAGTGCAGATTAATGTTGTATTGGACAAACAAATTGTTTTATTTCAAACTATTTATTGCTATGTCTAAAGCAATTGTGAAACAGCAGCAATTCCAAAACTGACTGGGGTACCAGAAAAATGCCAGTATTGTGTACTTCACAGTAGGCATGTTAGCGTGTAGTTTACATGATTAACCAATAAACCTGGTCTTATTGGTTGATCCTAATGACTACATGCACCAGTGCTGTATGAGAGGCAGCAGTGAGGGGTAGGGGGGGGCAGGTTGGAGCTTGCACCCACAGAGCTGCCTGCCATCCCCCTGCTGCCTCCCATAGAGGCAACAGTGCAGGTGGGAGCCGGTGCTCACATCAACTCCCATGGAGCCACCTGTCACCCTTGCGCTACTGCCTCTGATAGAGGCAACAGAGTGGGTGGTAAGGGGAGCAAGCAGGAGCCAGTAGACATAGGAAGCTGCTTTCAAGCTGACTCCCTGCGCATACCCGCTTGGCTCTCACAGAGCCAGTTGCCTTCCACTCTGCACTGCTGCCTCTCTATCATTGGCAGCAGTACGGGGAAAGTGAAGGGGGAAGCTGGCGCCCCATGCATATCAGCTCCCATGGAGCCCCCTGCCTCTCGATCAGTGCTTGAGGGGAGCCAGTTTAAAAGCTGGCTCCCTCCTAGCACTGACTCCCACATGCCTCACCACCCACCCCCGGTATGTAAACATGTAACTGCTAAAATTTCAAGTGCTTACACATTTACACAAAATATAGTTAATATTCCTACCTCACATGCCCACCCAATTATATGCCTGTTTCGGGTATCTTTAACAGAGAAAAGGCAACTTGAGGAGTGAGGAAAGAAACCTGTGGTTAAATTCTCTACACAGATTAATATGAGTAGGAGCTATATGCAATTCCACTGGAGTAGAGGATCAATTAATGATTCCCTGTTCTGTTCACTCCCTCAGGGGAACCTGGGATTGGCCACTGTCAGAAGCCAGGATACTGGGCTAAAAAGAGCCTTGGTCCGATCCAGTATCGTCATTCTTACGTTAATACTGCTCTGGAGGAACTATTAGTTTTCAGATAACAGAAAGCTGCATTTTAAAAAAAGCATTTGTAGGGTGGAAAGGTGGTCTGAATGAAAACTGAAAGAGCAATGCTCTTCTAAATCTGCCCAAAGATAAAGAACAGTGGGTCTGAGACATGTGAATTGCCCCCATCTTTCTATAGGATGTTGACTGAATCATAATGACAAATTAAATGTCAGCACTGTTAATTGTTTCACCTTTTATCACCCAGACAATTTGAATTTTTATTCTCCTTGGAGATTTCAAAAAGTAGAGATGAAAGAGACATATTGGGGCATTTTATACACCTCTATATGCCATGTGAAGATTTTACAATAACATTTTCTCTAGTGCTGTGTCCAACCTAGTTTTAAGTACCTTCAGTTATTGAGCCTCTCCCTTCCTCTTGAGAAGCTTACAGACCAATCGATCGGTCACTTCTGGGTAGCTTTTCCTGTTTTATTCTAGTCTAAGTTTCCTTTCTTTATATGGACTTGTGTCTAACTACTCCTGGTTGCCCGCAAAGTACGCCTACAGAGAAGAGGGGAAAAGAAACATGGCTGTGAGGGATGGAGAGCCATAATGGGGAGGAAGAAGAGTAAACAGCAGCTTTCAAGGGAAGGGATATGGGCATGAGTAGAGCCCTAGGATTTTGACTTCTGGGTATCTGTAAATATTGATGACGGCGGAGGAGAAAGGGAGGGTTATATTCAACTGTCAAAGAAGAATCGTTAAAACAAAAGCAGGAAAATGGAAAGTTAGCACAAAAACAATGCCTCTAAGTTCAAGTAGACAATGGATTCAACTGTCAAAGGAGTCTGTGTTTCTGACTTCTCTGGAGATATTCAAGACAAGACTATATAAAGAGCTACTGGGGCTACAAAAGAAAGGTATTAAAATGATTTTGTAGTTAAGCAATCGGAGGGGAAGGAATGGCCTATAAAAGCAGGAAATTCCTTCCTTTTCCTGGTACAGTACTTACAAATCTAGTAAAAACCCATGAGAAATGTTGTTCACACAAACTGTAATCATATTTCAAAGTGAAATCTCTACTTTTCCCCAAAAAATCATCCCAAGATTCATCCATGTTAGTCTAGATAATTCATTTTTTGTTAAAAACCCTCACATTTGAGGGTTTTTTTATTTATATAAATTCAAATCTTATGCATTGGAGCAATTGAAAAAAAAACTTTAATTTCTCTCTCTCTTTCTCTCAGAAATAAAGTTCAATTCTAGTCAGATCCCAAATGGCAAATTTCAGTCAAGAACAGCTCAGCTATGTAATCTAAAAAAAACCAAAGTCAATAATAAAAAGAATGCCATAACCTTAAACAAATTTTCAGAAGTGATAGAGTACTTTAAAGACAACTTTGCAAAAGCAGAAAAAAGATCATTGTTAACATAATTGGTAATAAATTGCTGCAAGCAAATGATAGTTACCAATTTAGATCTATAATCCATGAGACAGATGGAGGCTTTGCTGTGAGTGTATGAATCAAGATTGGTCACACTGTTGAACCTGTGATGTAGAAGCAAAAGGATTACAATGTGTATGATAAAGATGGACAGAGAAAGTATTATAGAAGAACAGATTAACTACAATAAATCGACAAGTTATACTGGGAAAACACTGCTGTAAAAGAGCCTGAACCCCAGTGAAAGATTCCCATTGACTTAAAACAGGATCCAAGCCTGAATTATAGACTTGCAGAGATATTCAGTTAATATCTATTTAAGGATACTAGTCCATAACACTGATAAAGGGATGCTATCTAGGTTGTATAACCAAAAATCAGACCCTCCAAATAAGTTCTTGATACCTGTCAAGAGGGAATATTTGTATGCTTCTAGCAAACAGGCAGTGAAATGAATGGAACCAAGAAGAAAACACACCTTAAAATCCATATACAACTCAGGTTTTGTATGTTGTCTGGGTAAAATTCTAACCTGATACCTTTCTCTAAGGACCAAGTATAGAAGGATTTGGCAAAAATGGTTGTTACTCCACATACAAAAGGTCTAAATAAAAAATAAAACCTTGAAGTCAATAATTACTCCAGATTTACACTAGTGGCAGTGAACATAAATGACCTCTTACTTCTAATTAAACCTAGAGGCCAAATTTCTCTCTGACATAACTCTCCGAAAGTAAAGGGAAGAATACTATCCCCCTAATATCTTGTTTAACTTTATACTGTACCTGTGTACTAGAGAAACTGTTTTAACCTGGGGCAAATTCAGACCTGATGTAAAATGTAATGAATTTGCACCCATTTCCTCCACATCTGAATTTGCTCCACTTTGCCAATGGAGGCTCCTAGGAATTATCATGAGCCATATGTTGGAGAATTGTCTCATTTAGCAAATATCTGTTGGTACAAATCTTTGTTTCTAGAGGAATTTTCACTTCTCTGTAGTAAACTACATTTACTGTTTGTTGTCCCTGTCACCTAACATCTCCTACTACAGGCAGTCCCCGGGTTACATCGGATCCCTACTTACAAACGGGGTGAGGCAACCCCGCACTAGCTGCTTCCCCCCAGCAGACCAGGGAGACACGGAGCAGCTTTTCTCAGCAGACACCTCAGCTTGAGAATAAAGGACTGAGGGAAGTGAGGTGTGGGAGAATAAAACTGAGCTCTGGAGAAATGTTTGGCTAGAGTTTCCCCTACAACATGTACCAGTTCTGACTTCCATACAGATTCAACTTAAGAACAAACCTACAGTCCCTATCGTGTACGTAACCTGGGGACTGCCTGTATATGCATGGGAGCTATGGGTAGTGGGAGTGCCACTCTCCCAGGTTTTCGGTAGGGCCTCAGTCACAATCCCAGATGCCGGCCACAACCCCCCTTATGCCTGCCTGGGTCCCCCACTCCTGGAGACATGGTCCTGCTCCTTGCCCCAGCTCAGGATGGGAGGAGAGTGGGGGTGATTGGGACTGGCTTGCAGCACTCGCGCTCTCTGAAGTATTCCAGCACCACTGCCCTTTACTTCTGAGCAGAGTTACATTATTCCTTCTGATGTGCTTTGCCTCCAATGCAAACTATTATCCATGAGTTCGGAGGGCTTATTTTCAGAACTTTCACCTGAATTTCATCCAGGAGTTGAAGATGTGAAAGGCTTTCAAACAGCAAAGACAACACTAAAACATTAAGATATTCACTTGTCCCACCCTGCACTGGGAGCCGTAGTCGGGAGCCGCAGGCCAAGCTGGGTACAAGAGCCAGATGGTGGTCTGGGCTGGGACCAGAATGGAGCTAGGGGCAGAGGAGGACTGGATATCACTCCCTCCCCACCTCCATGAGGCTAGTCCAGGCCTGCTACATTTCCCTGAATTATTGTTCTATGGCCCCCTAGAGGGACATACTCCACAGTTTGAGGGCCTCTGACCTATGGGTTACCCTTCCACTCCTCACCTTCCCAAAGGAAGCCGGAAGCTAGAGAATTAGCCATTGGCTCATTGCTTATTATTTTTTCTATTAAGGATGGTGATTTTATTTTGATATCACAGTCGATCCTTGGGAGAGAGAGATTGTTCCTTTTCAACTGTTTTAGCCTATTCTGTGGCTGAATAGGCTATTTTTATGCTGATAGTTCACCTAGACACAGGTTCTTATTTTGCACATAATGGGGGCTCTAGATCACACTCTATTCGCACGTGTGTTCCTCATTTTCCTCAACACGTTTTTTAACAAACATCAAAAAGAACAATTGAGGATAAATATCTGACGAACTGCACCTGCAATTCCAGGGCATGGAGTTAGAAGAAGGAAGGGGTTCTAAACTCTTCCTTCCCATGCCTGCTCATCCTTACTGCAACAAAAATTGCTACAGCTTAAGTGTTGCTGAAAAATTCTCCCTCTTGCAGCGCTCCTTAAAAGCAACTTCCATAATGACATGGAGATTGTCTTTTCTCCTCCCCAGCCTGTGTCTTGACCTGACACTTTGGAATTTAAATTAGATTTATCTAATCTTTAATTATTGTTTTAGAGAAAAAAAAGGAGGGTCTGTGGAGCAGTCTTGACATGTAAAACATCAGAGTTACTAGCACAGAATGGGAGCTTAAAAACCATTTACTGGTGTCGTGGTGTTATTACAAAAGACAGTGGCCCATTCCAGGGAAGAGACACACAGGGATTATGGGAAATAACTTTAACCTGTGTGACTGGATTCAATATCCTCTGGAGGTCCCTTCCAGTTCTAGTGTTCTATGATTCTATGATAGGAAGCAATGTGCTCAAATTATTGCATAGGAGTCAGGAGAGCTAGGTTTTGTCTGTTCTGCCTACAACCTGCTGAATGACCGTGGGTAAGTCACTTGCACTCTGGTGCCTCAGTTTCCCAATTGTGCAATAGGAACCATGTTACCAAAGATCGGATGTGAAAGACTTTGAGCTCCACAGATGAAGTGCTATATGAAGGCTACCTGTTGTATCCCCAAGAATTTTCACATTGATCTTTGAGACAAAGCAGTTACCTTACAGCAGACATTTAACCCTTCCTTGAAATTGCTTACAGCTAATGTGGAAGAAGCAGCTAAGTCAACCTGTTATTTGTTTCTGGGAGTGACATGTAGGAGCAGGGCCAGAATAAAGCAATTTAGAGCCCTAGGCACATGATATGGACCCCCTTGTAACTAACTCCCAAAAGGGCCATAGAGAAGCCTTCCAGGCAGCTAGAGTGGCTAGGAAGAAACCAGCCAATCAGGGGCCAGGAGGAACTATATAAGAAGCTGCAGGGTGAGGCATCTTAGTTGTAGCTTAGACCTGGAAGGGAGAAGGTTGGTGGTGGTTGGCTGATAGAACCAGGGACAGCTCAGCGTGGAAAGCTGTGGAGCAACTAATGAATTGCAATAGAGCTCTGAAGTAAGGGTGAGGCCTTGCTTGCAGGAGAGGAAGCCCTGGAGTCACCTCTCTCATTTGGAGTGAAGCAACAAACTGAAGGAATAGTGTTGAACTGAGAGAGACTCTACAGAGGGCACTGGGGTGGGTTGCTGTTAGAGGTGTACCCCAAATGGGATGTATGATCACACAGGCTATGTCTACACTGCACTGAAATATGCAAATGAGGCTAAGCGTGGAATATTGCTGAGCCTCATTTGCATAATTAATGAGCAGCTGCTTTTTGCGCAAGAGGCTTTTGCACAAAAAGGAACCGTCTGCACGGCTACTTCTTGCGCAAAAACCCCCTCTTGTGCAAGAGCCATTTTTCTGGGAAAAACGCGCCTTGATCTACATTTGAAATCCTAGGACTTACTAACTGCTAAAAACAATTAAAAACTCTCCTGCACCACTCAATCTCCATGACATGCTTGCCCAGTGCTTTGGAGCTGAACTGCTTATTTTCTTCTTAGACTGTGAGTGCCTCAGGCTGAGGGACTGCCTCTTACTCTATGGACTGAGCAGCACTCAACACACCAGTCCCAAACAGGCAAGGACAATATTATTATAATTGTACTTTCATACAGATTGGTAAACAGGCACAGAGAAATTAAAGAACTTGTTGACTATCAGAGCAGGCCAGTGGACAGGGTGAGAACAGAACCCAGGGAGTTTGGACACCACCCATACCAGAGGTAGGTAATTTTCTCAGGGAGCCACAATGAATTTTGGTACATGGTCCCAGGAGGAGTGGGACTAGGGACTAGCCTCCCTCCAAAGCCTCCAGTCCCAAACAATCTGAAGTAAAAACACAGCAAAGCCCTGCCACTACTGTGTTGCCTAGCAGCCACCCGGGATCACAGCAGCTATTTAAAAGGTTCACGGCTTTGGCCCCTGCTGGGGTAGCACTGCAGCTGGGAGCCTGGAAATGTGGTGGCATGGGCAGCAGAATATAAATACCGGCCAGATGCAGTTTGCAGGCTGGATCCAGCTCCCGGGCCACATCTTGCCCAGCCCTGACCTATACGCTATTAAATCCCCAGATGTATAGTATAATATCCCCAAAATGGAGTAAGTCTCACTGCTTGATGCCAAAGATCGAATATTTTTTCACCATGGACCTTTGGCCCAACCTAGTCTGGTCATTCTAGAATTATGTTCAGAATGGCAATTGCCCTGCTACTACATACACTGCACATTAGAAGATGGTATTCTACAAAGACTAGGGTGCCTGAAAGAAGCTGCTCCTTGGAAGCAGGGGGAGGAACGATGACTGTTAAGATCTAAAAGTACCGTATGGCTTTGATTCATCACAATTTAGTTCAAATACAATACATTAGCAAGCAAAGAGTGCAGCACAGCTTTGTCAAAATTACAAGACAAACTTGATTATAAAATTGGATTAGTTGCCAGTTTCTTTAATCTGGTTTAAGCCATTATTATAAATTGCCCTGGTATAACAGCCTCTTAAAGACAGCGATTACTTCAAGGTCAGGGTAAATACATAAACTGCCTTGATAACTATAAAGAGGCTAAAGTCTTGTTTAATTGCCTGCACACATGGAAGGCATATAGGTCTGATCCTGCACCATTGGAATCTTGTGGCAACACTCTTATTGACTTGTAGAATCAGCCTTCTGTGCCTAACCCATTGAGCCTCCAACTCTTATGGAAGTCAGTGGATTTGGGAATAGGTAACCCTTCCAAGAGGTGTTCAGGACCTGGCAGAACTGGGCCCTATTAGTTAATTTTCTACAGAAGAAAACCATACAACTTGTTCTGGCCTTAGTGTGACATTGCTTTTGACCCTACAGGACAATAATAATATAGTCATCAAACCTCACCTTACAACATGGTGGCAGTATTCATGGATGAAAACTTGAAAATAGGGTGGGAGGGAATAGTTAAGGACATATCTCCAAAATAGGCAGAGATTAGCTGGATTGGGTGAAACAGAAGCACTACAAGAGAACAGCTAGTTTCTCAGTCCATTTGTTTAAGTTGGTAGATCATGAAGCAAACCTGCAGTAGCCACCCCTGGTTGAAGCTGAAGTAGCTTCCCACTCTAAGCCCAGTTTCCAAACTCACTTGTCTGGAAACGAATAGTTAAGGGATCCATACCCTTCCCATCTACAAAGTCTTCTTCATTCTATCACCCATCCAAGCATAACTTCCTTCCCTTGTTTGGTTCAGAAACAAATATGTTGCTGGATGCCTGTTTTCTATTTATGTATATTAAATGCAAATATTTTTGGAAAGAATATTGTTTGAGTGCATTTAGCCATGACAGAGCACCATACATTTCTGATCAAAAGGTTGATGGAACAGAAAAATATTCAATGGAACTGGAATAATTGATCTGTTTTTGTTTTTATAAAATGCTTGTCACATGTTGCAAATTAATATGCATATATAAAGAGCTTACAAGTTTGTACTTTTTAATTTTATTGTAACTGTGAACATATACATGTTTTGTAGTAAGTAATCCTGTTAGTGCAACAATGAGAAATACTATTCCTCTCAAACAGAAAAAATGATTTGACATCTTACAAGTTTGATGGTTTTTCATTTTTGCTTGTCTTTTTATATGTTAGGGGGAAAAGTTAAGATTGGAGAAGTGTGAAAAAACACACAAACGATTCAGTAATTGCTGAATTATTACATAGCAGTGGAAACGTAGTTAAATTATCTTGCCTGTTTCCAGACTTTCCAATATTTGGAAATTTTTGAAGTTGCAGACTTTTTGCAGCTAAAGTATGTTATTTGAATCTTAGCTTTTAATATAATTTTTCATTTAGGAAAACAAATACACATTTTTTCTACACCACTTGATATTTTCCCCTTACTATATAAAAGATAGGAATTGAAAGATTAGAGTATTTATTATAATCAGGCAAAATTTCCTCTGACTTAATAGGAATTTTGTTTGTGGTAAGGAGCACAGGACTAAATCTAAAGACTAAATTTTTAATATAGAACTCAAACAATATCTTAAATATTTACAAGGCATCCTAGCTGTATTTATTCCAATTCATCAGTAACCCTAACTCAGTGGACTCTCTGAAGAATTGTTAACTTTTGCATACATTTCATTCAATAAAATATATTGTCTTGTATCATTCCCAAACTACCCCTTGGTTTAAGATACATTACTTTAAAAATAGAAATGTAGCTGTGTCAGTCTGGTGTAGCTGAAGCAAAATGCAGGACTATGTAGCACTTTAAAGACTAACAAGATGGTTTATTAGATGATGAGCTTTCGTGGGCCAGACCCACTTCCACAGATCAAATAGTGGAAGAAAATAGTCACAACCATATATACCAAAGGATACAATTTAAAAAAATGAACACATATGAAAAGAACAAATCACATTTCAGAACAGAAGAGGGATGCGGGGGGAGGGGGGGAGGAGGAAGGGAAGTGTCTGTGAGTTAACGATATTAGAGGTGGGGAAAGGTAGATGTCTGTGAGCTAATGGTATTAGAGGTGATAATTGGGGAAGCTATCTTTGTAATGGGTAAGGTAGTTGGGGTCTTTGTTCAATCCCCCCCCCCAGAGTGTCGTATTTTAGCATGAATGACAGTTCAGAGGATTCCTTTCAAGTGCAGATGTAAAAGGTCTTTGTAGCAGAATGCAGGTAGTGCTACATAGTCCTGCATCTTACTTTTAAAATGCTCTCCTTGGTTTTAAACTTTGGCGTAGAAATTATCAGCCCTAAGGTATAGTATTAATCCTTCTGGAGCCTACTTTCAGTCAGCACCACAGCAGGTTGGGACTAATAATGTGGCATCATCCAGGTGTACCACATCTCAGTGCTTTTTCATACACATTACAACAAAACAGATTAAAACAGAAGCACAAGACAGTGACACTGGCACCCCTGGATTCCTTTCACTCCTTTCTTTCCCCATTCTCTGTTGATGGCTGTTTTTCAAAAGAAAGCAAGTTAATTTAAAAATGGGGGGGGGACAAGTTTACAGTGGAGGGTAAGTGAACAAGGAAAGAGAATTAGAGACTGTTACTTCTTTAACTTCTCCTTTGTTCAGCCTTGAATGATGCCTGTCTCTCTCTCACACACACACAAGCACTGCACACTGCCTTCTCAATGATCAAATAACCCAAACTTCACTCTTTATCCTTCTCTACACACTAGTATTTGTTATTTGCATTAATAGTAGTACATTTTCACCCTATTAAGATAAAACCTTATTTTATGGGACTTCGGTAATCTTCATCTCCATCTAGTACAGTGATAACTTTACAGCTAAGTTCAGTGTGGGCACGGTCAGGAATAAAGAACAGTACTTGAAGGATAAATACAGAGGATCTGTGCGAATTAAAGATAGCCCCTAGGGAAGAAGCACCAGGAGGCTGTAAAACATCCTGTTAGATTTAGACAAACTCTGGAAGTTCAATCACAAAGAAGGCGTGGGGGGTGAGGGGGTTCAGAAAAGGGACAGTTTCAGCCAGCAAAGCATTGGCTGCGACTCTCTAGGGTCCCAGCCCCTGCTGAAGCAGTGAGCCCCAGGGGTCCTCGCTCTCCGCGGACAGAAGGGCGGCTTTGGAAGCCTTTCGCGTGTGCTTGTTTCGAGGTTTGGAAACCTCCCCCTCCTCCCGACCCCACACCACCGCTCCATACCATGCCCGAGCCCGCCAGCTGGCCTGCCCTCCTCCCGACCCTGCCAGGGTGGGAGCTGCCCGGGGACGGGTGCAGGCGCACCCCGGGTCTACAGGTGGGATGCTCCAGCCCAGGCACCTGCTGCCGCGACCTTTCGCGTGTGCTTGTTTCGAGGTTTGGAAACCTCCCCCTCCTCCCGACCCCACACCACCGCTCCATACCATGCCCGAGCCCGCCAGCTGGCCTGCCCTCCTCCCGACCCTGCCAGGGTGGGAGCTGCCCGGGGACGGGTGCAGGCGCACCCCGGGTCTACAGGTGGGATGCTCCAGCCCAGGCACCTGCTGCCGCGACCGCTCTTACCTTGGGCGCAGGGAGCGGCGGCCGGGGCAGGAGGGACGCAG